CAAGTTCTGGAGTATTGGTCTTCAGTACTATTGTCAGAATGTTTTCAAGGCCTGTAGCCTTTGCAGTATTCAGTACCTCCAACCATTTCTTGATATCACTTGATATCGAATTAAGACCGGTGTCTGTGACGCTGGGGACCACTGGAGGAGGCTGAGATGGTTCATCCGCTTGACACTGGCTGAAGATTGCTGCAAATGCTTCAGCTTTATGTTTTTAACGGATGTGTTGGGCTCTTCCATCATTGAGGATGGGGATATTTATGGAGCCTTCTCCTCCAGTGAATTGTTTAATTGTCCACTGCCATTCCCAACTGAACGTGGCAGGACTGTAGAATCTGATCCATTCATTGTGGGATCGCTTAGTAATCTCTTTCACTGACGATCCATACTGTTTGGCATGCAGTTGTTTGGTAGCTTCACCAGGTTGACACCTCATCTTCAGGTATACATGGTGCTGCTCCTGGCATGCCCTCCTGCACTCTCCATTGAACCATGGTTGATACCTTGGCTTGAATGTAATGGTTGAGTGGGGGATATGCCAGGCCATAAGTTACAGATTGTGCTGGAGTACAATTCTGCTGGTGTTGGTGGCCCACAGCACGTCATGCATGCCCAGTCTTGAGTTGTTAGATCTGTGCGAAGTCTGTCCCATTTGGCACGGTGATAGTGCCATACAACACGATGGAGTGTATTCTCAAAGTGAAGGCTATATCCTTTAGGACCCTAACAGCTTGATCAATAGTGCAGTTGCCAAGCTGCTGTTGGTTGTGAACATTGAAATCCTCCACCCAGAGTACGTTTTGTGTCCTTGACATCATCAGTGCTTCCTCCAAGTGTTGTTCAGGAGGACCAATTCATCAGCTGAGGGAGGGTGGTACGTGGTAATCAGCATGGAGTCCAGAGATAATATTGAGGACTTCCAGGGCAACTCCATCCTGACTGTATACCACTGTGCCGCCACCTCTGCTGGTCTTTCCTGCGGTGGGACAGGACATACCCAGGAATGGTGATGGTTGCATCTGGGACATTGTCTGTAAGATATGACTCCATGAATAAGACTACGTCAGGCTGTTGCTTGACTAGTCTGTGAGACAGCTGTCCCAGTTTTGGCACTAGCCCACAGATGTTAATGAGGACACCTTTGTAGAATTGACAGGGCTGTTTTCTCATTATCTTTTATGATGCCCACATCGATGCCAGATGGTCCGTCCAGTTTCATTTCTTTGTTGAGATTTTGTAGTGATTGATACAACTGAGTGGCTTGCTAGGTCATTTCAGAGAGCAGTTGAGAGTCAGCCACATGTGGGTTTGGATTCATATATAGGTCAGACCAGGATTTCCTTGCCTGAACTGCATTGGTGAGCCAGATAGGTTTTTCTGACAATCAACAATGATTTCATGATCATCAGTAGATTCTTAATTCCATTAATTTCCATCCACAAATTTATTGGTCCACCCTCCTACATTCAATCGTAGAATCGTACAACGCAGAAGAAGCCAGCCCTTCAGCCCCTCAATTTGTTACCACCTAAAGTATATTACTTTGCCGTGGTTGTCCCATAGCTTTGAATGTTATGATCCTTCAAGTGCTCATCCAAATACTTTTTAAAGATTGTGAGGTTTCCCACCTCAACTACCCTCCTGACGGTGCATTCCAGACTCCCACCAGCTTCTGGGTAAAATGTTTTTCCTCAGATCTCTTCCTGCCTTCTACTTAAAATTATGCCACTTTGTTAATGACACTTCTTCTAATGGGAATAGTTTTATTTTCATCTTGTTCATGTCTCTCATAGTCTTATACGTGATCTATCGTATTCCCTGCCCCCCCACCCCAACCTTCTCTGCTCCAAAGAAGAAAATCCAGTCTCTCTTCATCGCTGAAATGCTCCATCTCCTCTGTGTCCCCTCCAGTGCAGTCAAATCCTTCCTATAGTGCGGTAACCAGAACTGCACTCAGTACTCTAGCTGTGGCCTAGCCAAAGTTCTGTGCAGCTCCAACATAACCTCCCTGCTCTTGTAATCTATGCCATGACTGATAAAGGCAAGCATCCCATTTACCTTCTTAACTATTGCATTAACCTGTGCTGCCGGCTGCAGGGATCTGTAAAGAAGCACCCCAAGATCTCTCTGTTTTTCTAGGTTCCTCGTACCTTACCATTCATTGAGGACTCTCTTGTCTTGTTTCTTCTTCCAAAACACACCTCCTCACATATATCAGGGTTAAATTCAGTCTGCCATTGATCTGTCTTTCTGACCAATCCTTTTATATCCTAAGGCTATAAACCGAAGACTTTCCTCCTCATTATCAACCACCCAGTCTTTGTGTCGTCCACATTTGTTATCATCCCTCCCACATTCTCATCTACTTCATTTATGAATGTTACAAACTAGTCTAAGACATTTACATAAACCACAAAAAGTATTGTCCTCATCTTCACACCTGATCAAAAAAATCAAGCAGGCTGGTCAGGCATAATATCCCCTTAACAAATCCACGCTGACTGTTCTTGGTTAATCCCTGCATCCCCAAGTGCAAATTACTCTGTCCCTCAGAATTGCTTCCAATAATTTCTCTGCGACTAAGGTTACATTGACAGGCCTATAGTTTCCTGGTTTCCCTTGCTTCCTCTTGAATAACAGTATACATTGACTGCCCTCCAGTCCTCTGGTACTTCTCCTCTGGCTGGAAAGAAATTGAAGATTGTTGCCAGCGTCCCTGCTATTTCCTCCCTTGCTTCACTCAACCGCCTGGGTTAGATTTCATTTGACCCTGGAGATTTATCTACTCGTAATCCTGCCTGAACACTCAGAAGAAGTCCCTCTCTGTCTATGCTAATTTCTTTAAGTATATCACAGTCCTTCTCCCTGATTTCTTTATCCACATTGTCCCTCTTACTAGCAAGTACCAACTCAAAATGCAGAGGATCCATTATTTACTAATATCCAACTTAAGAAACACTTGTACTGAGAAATGCAATTCCAAACAGGGGAGTAATTTTAAAGACCAGATATATGAAAATTTCCTGTACTTATGAAGAACTGCTTTATGTTGTCTTGGGTTGTGTTCTGACTTGTGTACAAATCAACTTGCGAATGGACTCCAGAATGGAACCCATTCACAACCTGGGGACTGTCTGTATCCATTTAGAACCCTACCCATGTCCTCTGACTCCACATGCAAATTATCAGTGGTCTTTCATGGCCCCTACTCTTTCCCTTGTTATCCTTTTACCCTTAATACACTTGTAAGATTACCTAGGATGTTACTTTATTTTACCTGCCATTGTTCTTTCATGCTCACTTTCCTCCAATGTGAATCATTGTGCACAGTTAATGATGTCTAGTTAGTTATATTCCACTTTGAATCATTGTGTAGATTTGCTGTGTGAATCATTGTGCAAAGGTGCTGATGATATTTAGTTATTTATGTTTGTGTTCTTCATTGTGTGGAACTGGTGATATCCTGGTAGCTGTTTGCTAGTGCACTCGTTGTTTGGACTTTGGAAAGGATCTTTTTCTCTCTACGATATATCATTGGGGCAATTTTACACAGTTATAAAAAATTCTAATTGATACATATGCTTAGGTGAATAATAGCTTTTTTATGTAACATTGAAAAACTGGAATAACTTTGCATTGAAGAGATTATGTTGTGTTGTATAGTGCTAGACCTTGAATGCCTCTTTCATTGTTTACACAAGGGTCAGTTCTTGCTTCCTTGAGTCAGCAAGTAGTCGTTTTTTTTAAAGCTTGCTAAACAAACATTCATTTATATACCTCATGGAGAACCATTCAAACATGTAAAAGACAGACAGACAGATGGGAAGGACTATGAATACCTACTGTTATGAGACCAAGCTAGGCTGTGAGCTATATTTGATACAAGTTAGATGCTCGAAAACAAGTTAAACGATTTGGCCTGATGTCTAATTTCAAGTGCAGCTATCTTTAACTTGTCTAATATGTACAATTACATTTGATTGCAATTTAGAAAAAATAATTGATGTAGATTACCTGTCTGGTATTTTCCAGCTGGTACAACTTGTGAAATTTCCAAGTAATTTGTGGTGACGTACTCCTCATATCTTGGTTTGGAAGCAACTGACTATACCGATTGGATTAGGAAGTAGGTGGACAGAGAGAGAGAAAAAATTGGCTATAGTTTAGCAGATTTATTGCTTTTAAAGGAATCTGTTGGTTATAGATTTACCTCAGCCATGTTAGTTATTACAAAGAAGCTTTTTTTAAAAACTCAGCATTGCATTACAACCATTGCATTAAAATCCTGTTTTAAGCAACAGCAAAAAATTAAAAAGGTAGAAAAAGGTTAATCTCTTGCATTTAAATTATATAGCTACAAGTTGGAATTATTTTGAAAGGGAACCTCTCTGCGTGCATAACTCTTAAATTATTGTGCTTTCGACTTTTGCCTTGCTCTCCCATGCTATACCATTTGGTATTAATTCATGCCTTCACTAGTATGATGCTATATCATGCTGCTCAATGGTGTAGGAGCCCACCAACTCTGAATGATTCACTGTTGGATATTTTTTCTCCTATCTTCCGATGTAGAGGTGGGAATATCCAATGGTTAACATGAACCCTGCCCTCTGTTATTCTGAAATAGTGAGTTGATATTCAAGTTAGTACTAAAAGGCTCACTAAATAATTGATCTCTTTCTCTCTTCATGCTCTGTCAATGTAGCGTCTTTGTTGTCTGAGGACTGCCAATCATGCCTCATGCCATGATATCCCTATAGGGGAAGGTGCGAAGGCAGATTCCAAGAACTACATCAGCTGGTACAGAAAATGAACTCACGCTGTTGGTGTTGTTCTGTGTCACTTTCTGGCTATCTTGCTAGCTGAGCTAATCGACATAATACCTGCATTTAAAAGCAACAGCTTAAATTTGAACACATTAACCATTTCTCAGTATGTACGGCCTCCTATTCACAATTTTATCTAATCTAGTGTACAACTTGCATTTTTTTAAAATCTAGACTGCCTGCTTTAGAGAGGAGCGGGATGTGTTGGTAAATGGAGACAGCCAGTGGATTACCACATTGCACTATGCCTTCCAGGATGAAAACTATTTGGTGAGTTACAGTCTAGAACATGATTTATTTTGTGCCAATTTTAAACAGTGGTTTTATTTCATTTTAAAATAATATGCATCCCTGTTTAGCTATACTGGATGGTACACCACTTCTAAATTCACAAGATGGATATTTGATTTCTTCTAGCCCTGGTCTTTATACATTTGCATCAGTTCTATGACCCTTTGATCTTTTGCTTATAAATTCTGTGACTGATGCCACCTCTGTCACTGACACCTGAAGAAGGAGCGACACTCTGAAAGCTTGTGTCCTCAAATAGACTATAACCTTGTGTTGTGTGATTTTTGACCTTGTCCACCCCAGTCCAACACCAGCACCTCCACATCATTATATACCATAACTATTGGTGGGGAAGTAACTGGTAGCATTAGAATTGTTTGTCTTCTGGTGTTTCTCTTGCTTTACAGAGCAGTGCTTCCTTTCACCTGGCACCCCTCTTTCCCTTACTCAACACCCTGGAGCAAGAAAAACTGAGGAATGTGCAGCTCCAGACCATTTCCCATTTTGTTGTGTAAAATGTCGAGTGATTGCCTTCTAAGTTAAGCTTTCCTTCTGAGATGTTAATAGCTACATACAGATGACCATCTTTTAAAAATATATCTCAGTATTAATAAAGATGCAGAGAGTACTGTGGTCTGCATAGTTTTGGTCTCCTTATTTGAAGGAAGATACAGTTGCAGAGTAGTTCAGAGAAAGTTCACTCAGTCATCCCTGGGTTGGAAAGGCTTATCTTATGGTGAAAAGTTGAATAGATTGAGCATATACCTATTGGAGTTTGAAATATAACATGTGGAGACTTGATAGAGTGGATACCGGGAAGGTGTTCCTCCTCCTTAGGGGACATAGTTTAAGAATAAGTGGTCCCCCTTTTAAGATGAAAAGTAGGAGAATTTTTTTTCTGAGGATCATTAGAAATGGAATTTTCTTTCCCAGCAGGTAGTGGAGACTGGGTCAGTGAAGTGATTTAAGGCAGAGTTTAAGTAAATTTTTCATGGAGGGAGTTGAGTTATGGGCACGAAACAGGAAAGTTAAGGTTACGCCACAGCCAGATCAGTTATGATCTTAGTGAATGATTGAGAAAACTCAAAGGGCCAAAAAGCCTATTTCTACTCTTAGTAATTATTCATTCAATTGCTTGAGTTAACTAATCCGCCAGTTGCTCCCTTGCTGCTTTGCAGTGAAAACCTCCAGGGTCGTCAAATAGTGAAGTAGTAAAGTTGATTCAAAATTAAAAATACAGCTGAAAATATAAATATGAAAATGAAAGCCAGCTTAGACTAGTTAAAGAGAATGTTTGTTTCACCAGTTTGTTTGGGTTTTTAATGAGGCAGCAGAGGTCAATGAGGACAATAGCATTGATTGACACTTCCAAACGACAGTTGATGCAAGTATTTCCTGATAAGTTTGTCAGCAAAGCTGGAGCTCATGGGCAAAGCAGGAAAGTGGCAGCATAGATATGAAGTTGGCCGAGTGAAAGGAAACAGTGTAGTGGTAAACGGTTATTTCTTGGGCTAGTGAAGGATTTATATTGGAATTTCCCAGACATGAGTACCAGAAACACTGGTCAAAATTAATGAGTTAGACTTGTACAGGAAACAGTTTCAAAATTTGTGAATGACAACTTGAAATTTTGTGAACTATAAGGCTAATGATTTACTTCAAGAGCACATCGACAAGTTGTTGAGGTGGACAGACAAGTGGCAGTGGAATTAAATGCAGAATCTGAAGCAACATACTTGGATGGGAAGAATGAGGAAAACCAATTTATTATAAGGATTACAATAGTAAAGCTGCTGAAGAAACAGAGAGACTTATGTATACGAGCTATTAAAAATTGAATAAGTAAGTAAAAAAGATGCAGGATCCTGGACTTTATAAATCAAGGAATAGACCAGAAAAAAAAGGGAATTCTGTTGAAGTTGTTGAATGGGATGCCACAGTACTTGGTCCTTGAGCCCCAACTATTTACAATGAGTTGGGTGTGGGGAAAGTAAGTAATATAGCCAAATTTGCAGGTGACGCTAAAATAGGTGGGAAAGTAAGTCGCAATGAGGAAATAAGTTTTCAAATGGATATGGAGATAGCAAGAACTGCAGATGTTGGAGTCAGAGACTGCACAGTGTGGAGCTGGAGGAACACAGCAGGCCAGGCAGCATTAGAGGAGCAGGAAAGCTGACGTTTCGGGTCGGGACCCTTCTTCAGAAATGGGGAGGGAGAAGGGAGCTGGGAAATAAATAGAGAGAGGAGGGGTGCGCCTGGGGAAGGTAGGTGGGATGGTGATGGGTGAATGCAGGAAGGGCATGGTGGGGATTGGTCAGTGGAATGGGTGGGAGAGAAGATTGACAGGTTGTGTCAGGTCAAGGAGGCGAGGATGAGAGGGAGGGTTGGACATGGAATGAGACTCGGGGTGGGGAGATTTTGAAACTGGTGAATTCTACGTTTAGGCCATCAGGCTGTAGGCTGCTGAGGTGGAATATGAGGTGTTGTTCCTCCAGTTTGCGTGTGATGCCACCTTCAGGGATCTTTGGACAAACACCCCAAGATCCCTCTGATCCTCTGAATTTCCTCATGTTTTACCATTTATTGAGTACTTCCTTATCTTGCTTCTTCTTCCAAACTGCATCATATCACATTTATCAGGGTTGAATTGCATTTGCCACTGATCTGCCCATCTGACCAATCCAATTGTATATCCTTCTGTAACCTTACAGCTTCCTCCTCACTGTCAACCGGCACTCTCTACCGGCCAATCTTTGTGTCATTCACAAACTTACTTATCATCATCCCCAAAATTCTCATCTATATATTTCATGAATATCAAAACAGTAAAATATCAACACTAATCCCTGTGGTATGCCTTTGCACACTGGGCACCAATCACACAAACAGCTTTCTACCCTCTGTCTCCTGTCTCAAAGCCAGTTTTGGATCCATGAACATTTGCCTTCTCTAATAGATTCTCATGTGGGACCTTGTCAAAGTTTTCTGAAATCCATACAAATTACATCAATTGTCCTATCCTCATCCAAACACTTGGTCACCTCCATGAAAAATTCCATTAGGTTTGTTAGGTAACTTAGTTGTATTCATGAGTGCAACCTGAGATGGGGATTGAATAAAATATAACAATAATTGAACGAAATATAACAAACTAATAACAAGAAAGTTATTGTTTTGCTCACCACTTATTTTACATTTCATTTTATTCTCAGTATCTTGTGATGGACTACTATGTGGGAGGAGACCTCTTAACATTACTCAGCAAATTTGAGGACCGGTTACCCGAGGATATGGCAAAATTTTATCTAGCAGAAATGGTTTTGGCAATTGACTCTGTTCATCAGCTACATTATGTCCACAGGTAAGATGATTTGATAGAAGGGTTTGATTATGCCAGTGATCATGGAGTTAACTGTGACTAGAGAACTTGCCTTACTTAACAGTTAATCTTACCTAAAAATGATATGGTCCAGTAATAATTGTTCTCATCTTTTACACGGTTTTAAAATAAGTTTGTTGTTGTTTGGATATTGCTTTGAGCTAATATATAAGTTTGCCATTATTGGGTTATGTCTATTTGAGCCAATTCTGAAATTGGGGCAGTGAGCAAAATCACATGGCACTTCCTTTAAAACATTCTTTCATGAAAGCATTTTAATTTTTCAAACAAGAATGAGCCATGCGCTTTTAATCTTTTGTTAACTTCTCTTATCATCACCAACACACCTGTTCATTGGTTTCAGCAGAAAATTTATTAAAATCTGGAGGAGAAAGTTGAGGCTTCAATGAGTTGAATATTTAGTGGATTTGGTGCCTAAATTTGCAGAACAGAGTATAATTGTGAGGATTGAAAATCTACTGTCAGTGGAATAATAAGGCAAATAGAGTAGGCAGCAGGGGCTCAGAACAAATTTACTTTTGTTCTGCATCTGATTAAATTATTGTTCAGATAACAATTAAATGAAAAAATTCCATCAGATCCATATGTTTAATATATTGCTGTATTCTCAATTTTAAAACACACAGAGATCCAAGATTGTAACATATAATAGATGTATTAAAAGTAGAGAGCCGTCAGGTTTTTCAGCAGGAAGAGGCTACAATGACATGATTATGGCAACTAAGTATGTTTCTGTATGGAGCTGGGGCAAGGGAAGACCAATTACCAGTCTGCCTCTGAACATCAGTGCTGGAGCACCTGTGAATGCTGTGAATATATGACCCTAACTTGTGTAAATACAATTTGATCAGATGTGTGAGCCAGGTAGAAGGAAGGAAAATAGCAGAATTTTTCAGGAAAACAGATAGGACTTGAATTTGTGTACCAAATCTTGCCTCATAGAGTCATACAGCGCGGAAACAGACCCTTCGGTCCAACCGGTCTGTGCCAACCATAATCCCAATTTAAACCAGTCGCAACTGCCTGTGCTTGGCCAAACATCTCTTATTCATGTACTCGTCCAAATGTCTTTTAAGCATTGTAACTGTACCCGCATCCACAACTTCCTCTGGAAGATCAATCCACTCGCAAACCACTCTTTGTGTAAAAAAGTTACCCCTCATATCTTTTTTAAATCTCTCTCTTCTCACCTTAAAATTATGCCTCCTAGTCTTGAAATCCCCCACTCTAGGGAAAAGACACCTGCCATTCACCTTACCAATACCACTCATGATTTTAGAAATCTGTGTTAGGTCACCCCAAAACCACCTACGCTGCAATGAAAGAAGTCCCAGACTATCCAGCTTCTCCTTCTAACTCACAGCCTCCATTCCTGGAAACATCCTTGTAACATCTTGGTAATTTTTTTCTGAACCCTTTCCAGCTTAATAATAACCTTCCTATAACAGGATGACCAGAACTGGACACAGTACTCCAGAAGAGGCCTTACCAATGTCCTGTACAACTTCAACATGATGTATCAACTTCTATACTCATCGGTCTGAGCAGTGAAGGCAAACGTGCTAAACCCATTCTTAACCCCCCTGTCTAAATGGGACGCAAACTTCAAAGAACTACGTACCTGAACCAAAATGCAATGCCTCGCATTTATCCAAATTAAAATCCATCTGCCACTCTTCAGCCCATTGACCCAATTGATCAGGACCTCTTTGAAATCTGAGATAACCTTCTTCATTGTCCATTATACCACCAATTTGGTGTCATCCGCAAACTTACTAACCATGCCTTCTATATTGTCATTTATATAAATGTTATAATAATTATTATAAATGTTATAATAATAATAATTATATAATAATTGACATTTATATAAATTAGATGAGAATCAAGTAGGCCCAGCACTGATCCCTTTGGAACACTGCTGGTCACAAGCCTCTAGTCCAAAAAGCAACCCTCCTTAACTACTTTCTGGTCTCTTGCCGTTAAACCAATTTTGTATCCAATTGGCAGGCTCACCCTGAATCCCACGTGATTTAACTTTACTAATTAGTCTACCATGCGGAATCTTGTCAAAGGGTTTACTAAAGTCCAAGTAAACAACACCTACCACTCTGCCCTTATCAATCCTCTGGGTTACTTCCTCAAAAAATCTCAATCAAGTTTGTGAAACACGATTTCCCCCGCACAAAACCAAGTTGACTATCCCTAACCATTCATTGCCTCTTCAAATATATAATAATCCTGACTTTCAGAATCATCTCCACAACTTACCCACCACCAAAATCAGACTGTCAGGTTTATAGTTCCCAGGCTTCTCCTTACATTCCTTCCTAAACAAAGTCTTTTCATATAGATAGTAGGAACTGCAGATGCTGGAGAATCTGAGACAACAAGGCGTAGAGCTGGATGAACACAGCAGGCTAAGCAGCATCATAGGAGCAGGAAGACTGACGTTTTGGGCCTAGACCCTTCTTCAGAAATGGGGGAGGGGAATGGGGTTCTGAAATAAATAGGGAGAGAGGGGGAGGCGGATAGAAGATGGATAGAGGAGAAGATAGGTGAAGAGGAGACAGAAAGGTCAGAGAGGCGGGGATGGAGCCAGTAAAGGTATGTATAGGTGGGGAGGTAGGGAGGAGATAGGTCAGTCCAGGGAGGACGGACAGGTCAAGGGGGCGGGATGAGGTTAGTCGGTAGGAGATGGGGGTGGGGCTTGAGGTGGGAGAAAGGACAGGTTAGGGAGGCGGGGACAAGCTGGGCTGGTTTTGGGATGCGGTAGGGGGATGGGAGATTTTGAAGCTTGTGAAATCCACATTGATACCATTGGGCTGTAGGGTTCCCAAGCGGAATATGAGTTGCTGTTTCCGCAACCTTCGGGTGGCATGGTTGTGGCACTGCAGGAGGCCCAGGATGGACATGTCGTCTGAGGAATGGGAGGGGGAGTTGAAATGGTTCGCGACTGGTAGGTGCAGTTGTTTAGTGCGAACCGAGCGTAGGTGTTCTGCAAAATGGTCCCCGAGCCTCCGCTTGGTTTCCCCGATGTAGAGGAGGCCACAACGGGAACAGCAGATGCAGTATACCACATTAGCAGATGTGCAGGTGCACATCTGCTCGATGTGGAAAGTCTTCTTGGGGCCTGGGATGGGGGTGAGGGGGGAGGTGTAGCACTTCCTGCGGTTGCAGGGAAAAGTGCCGGGTGAGGTGGGGCTGGAGGGGAGTGTGGAATGGACAAGGGAGTCATGGAGAGTGTGGTCCCTCCGGAAGGCAGATAAGGGTGGGGAGGGAAAAATGTCTTTGGTGGTGGGGTCGGATTGCAGATGGCGGAAGTGTCGGAGGATGACGCGTTGGATCCGGAGGTTGGTGGGGTGGTACCTGAGGACGAGGGGGATTCTGTTTTGGTTGTTATTGCGGGGAGGTGGTGTGAGGGATGAGTTGCGGGAAATGCGGGAGACACAGTCGAGGGCGTTATTGACCACTGAGGAGGGGAAGTTGCGGTCCTTGAAAAACGAGGACATCTGAGATGTATAGGAGTGGAATGCCTCATCCTGGGAGCAGATGCAGCGGAGGCGAAGGAATTGGGAATAGGGGATGGCATTTTTTGCAGGAAGGTGGGTGGGAGGAGGTGTATTCTAGGTAAGCAGGAAGGTGGGTGGGAGGAGGTGTATTCTAGGTAAGCAGGAAGGTGGGTCGGAGGAGGTGTATTCTAGGTAAGCAGGAAGGTGGGTGGGAGGAGGTGTATTCTAGGTAAGCAGGAAGGTGGTTGGGAGGAGGTGTATTCTAGGTAAGCAGGAAGGTGGGTGGGAGGAGGTGTATTTGCTTACCTAGAATACACCTCCTCCCACCTACCTTCCTGCAAAAATGCCATCCCCTGTTCCCAATTCCTTTGCCTCCACCGCATCTGCTCCCAGGATGCAGAATTCTGCCTCATCCTTATCACTTTCAATAGCCTCAACTTTATGTTTTAAACACTTTGTCAAGATACAGATTTTGCTAGGGTCACTTTGGATATTTTTACATTAATGAACGAGAGATCAAAATGCATTTTTTTCCTGTTACACGGGGCATAGTTTTGAAAACCCAGCTTGCAAATGTTTTTATGTCTCTGAAAATATTGGTTAGGTTCCTCATAACTCTATCATGCCTGTAAGGTTTATTGAAATGATTTTAAGTCGGGAAATGACTCAGTAGTCAACTTGTCTTTAAGTCTCTCGACCTCTTCATCTCCAACTGCCATCGAGACATCAATCGCCTCAACCTCTCCACCCCTCTCACCCACTCCAACCTCTCCCCCGCAGAACGTGCAGCCCTCCGCTCCAATCCCAACCTCACCATAAAACCCGCGGACAAGGGAGGCGCAGTTGTAGTATGGCGCAATGACCTCTACATCTCCGAGGCCAGACGCCAACTCTCCGACACCCCCTCCTACCGCTCCCTTGATCATGACCCCACTCCTGAGCACCAAACCATCATCTCCCAAACCATCCACAACCTCATCACCTCAGGTGACTTCCCACCCACGGCCTCCAACCTCATCGTTCCCCAACCTCGCACTGCCCGCTTCTATCTCCTTCCCAAAATCCACAAACCTGAATGCCCTGGTCGACCCATTGTCTCCGCCTGCTCCTGCCCCACCGAACTGATCTCCAACTATCTAGACTCCATTTTCTCCCCCTTGGTCCAGGAACTCCCTACCTATGTCCGTGACACCACCCACGCCCTCCACCTCCTCCAGAACTTCCAATTCCCCGATCCCCAACACCTCATCTTTACCATGGATGTCCAGTCCCTCTACACCTGCATTCCCCATGCTGATGGCCTTAAGGTCCTCCGCTTCTTCCTGTCCCGCAGGCCCAACCAGTCCCCCTCCACTGACACCCTCATCTGCTTAGCCGAACTCGTCCTCACCCTCAACAACTTCTCTTTCAATTCCTCCCACTTCCTACAGACAAAGGGGGTAGCCATGG